GGTCTGTCCAGGCAGCATCGTAGGCACAATTTCAAACATGCCGAGATAATCGCCTTCCGCTACTCCGAACTTAGCACAAATTTTGTCTGGGAGTGATGTTCCATTCCATCACGTCTGAGCTCTGTCTCACCCCACTCTACCTCCCACCCCACCCCCCACCTGACCGGATTACTGAGTGCACTCGAAGTCTCAATGAGCTCTCACTGACCTAGACAAGCAAGTACACAATTCGATTCAGTCGGCTTGAATCAAAAGAAAAGAAAGTTCACAGTATCCTAATTTGTTCTATTTTGCCTAATGGAACTTCCAAGTCAACCAACCACTTCTCCGACGCTTTGCACGGACAGTATTCGAACTGCACAAGCACGTGTTACTACCATTTCACTTTTCGAATCCTAGCCCTTGTTTTTACCACACGCATTGTTTCTCGCCTCCAACTCCTCCATGTAGGTTCACGCATTACGGGCAAAGTGGAATTGGGCATTGCCAGTCTGAAGATCCATTACACTCAACCCACCGATGCCGGTACGTACACATGTCATTTGACTACGGAGTTCGGTCACGCTGATAGCCATCCGGCTACTTTGCAATGTGAAGTTTCCGGTACGATTATCGCGGCCAGTCAGTTGCCCGGAGACAAAGAAAAAGGTATGTATGCTGTGTTTTGAGGAATCATGTGTACATCTTAAGCCACTCTTGGTAATCTGTATTGTGCAATACCTGCCCTATCTATTTCTGACTACAAATGGACATTCGGCGGTGTACACAAACTATGTGGGTGGCCGACCAGGGTCGAGGGGGGTTTGAACACTATTACCCAATGAAGTGCATCAGTTCGTCCGTGTCAGATGATGCATTTGGATGCATGAGACTCTCTTGTTTCCAATCCGAATGCGTGCCTCTACAGCTGTTCCGTTGATCAACAATTTGTGGGCCCCACATGTTTTATGATTTTTGCCACTGGGTTGATTTAACTTAACTGTATCCGGGCTATTTGCGCTCCACGTTTGACCCAGTTGGAGTCAGCTGTGGTGGGAGATGTTTGTGATTGAACGGCCTGTGTGTGTGTGTGTGTGTGTGTGTGTGTGTGTGTGTGTGTGTGTGTGGAGAATGAGAAGGGGCGGAGAGAAAAATCAGCACATGTGGTGATGGATGTGTGGGGTCAGTGCATTGCACTCGGTCATTCTGCATCCAGAAAACCTGGCGATAACTTGCATGATCGGAACACGTACATCGGCCGGAGAGTGCATTATGCCTAACTGATCCGTGTTATTCGTTCTTCGATTACGCCTCCACTCACAGATGAGTGCGGAAACGACTAAGTGAATAATGACAACCCTTTGTGAATTCATACCGGTCTTCTCTTCTGTCTCTCTCTCTCTCCCTCCTCCCTCTTTCGGTCACACCCGATTCGCAGGACTTCAAGCCATTGAAGCGATTGAAGCTTTGCTTCACGCTCCACGTGGTACAGCATTCGAAGAAGATGGACCTCTGGGTGCACCGCAAATCATACAGGATTTGCAACCGGTCGGCGAAGTGGAGGAGGGCACGGCTGTACACTTTGAGGTGCATGTGGAGCCATCTAACGATCCCTCATTGGTGGTAAATTGGTACGTAATCGAAGAGATTCGCGCTCACACTGTGCCTTCCTGATAGTTAAAATTTATACTATTGAAACAACAATCCCCTACAAACCACAAACTGTGCCATTTTCTCCATCTACAACATTTAAAACCCGCGGTCCCGTGGTGCAATGCCCATAAACCAACGAGCTTTTCGGTCTATGGTGCACCGGCACTGATTAGCTGTCTTGACCGAACTTGTGTATTGCACTCATGACCGTGGTGCTTAAGATTGATGCTTGATCCAGCGACCAAGCGACCGACAACCGGATCGCGCGTTCACATTTGGTCCCCGTCTGTCGCACGTGACACTCCCATTACTAACCTCAGTGCTTTCATTTTTGCCCGACCCGTTTCAGGTACAAAGATAATGATTTATTGTCCAGCGGTACACGTTTCCGTGTGACATACGACCGCGGAGTGGCCACATTGGATCTGGTATATACGATCCCAGAGGACAGTGGCGAATATTGGTGCAAAGTGCACAATGCTGGAGGTCAGACGGACAGTCACCGCGTGCCGTTGAAGTGAGTGTGTGTGTGTGCTATGTATGATTGCCTTGTCCTTTCAGTTAGAAACCGGGGAAGAGTCAACAAGTAATAGTTAGGTGCTTTTGCCATCACATGTCCATGTTTCGTAAAAAGATGCATATAAGGGGATGAGACGAGATTTACTATAAAACGCAGCTTTTGGGACGTTTATTCATCCATTACCTACACGTTTGGTAAATGGTTTTCAGTGAGATCGGTTCTCGTGCGGCTTTCGGATAAATATTCTCCAACGATTTTCAAAAGCACAAGTGCAATAATGATTCTTCAGACAAACGAAAGTTGTCATATGCCCGATGATGTCAGTGGTTACGTGCTATGTGAATTACCTCGTATCCCCGACGCACACCAGATTGATATGGGGCTTCTGCCATCTCTTGATGACACCGCTCTTTTGCACCATTTGTTCAACAGCCATGGGCTGTTACATGTTGACAAAGAGTTGTTACTCTTTAACGGAAGAAATTCGCTTGCTATTGTAGACACCATAAATGAATCGCATTAGGTGACGGATAGATGTTAACCGTTTGACAGAGATTTCGGTGCGTTTCCCTAGGTAACTGCAATGTGATTCAAACAATCGTTTATTTGTATCGGCCACTTGTTTGATTTTCATCCCCGTATACGTTTTCATTCCTGACCAAGGTTAATCCATTTGCTGATAGGGCATTATGACACATTTCCAAACAGACTACTCGGTCGACCACACAGTTTGGGGGTCACGACCTCATCAGGATGAAGTAGTCAGTAGTCTCTGCCGAAAGTACACCCAGTGTTGCTGTGCAAACGTGTTCCGTCCGACCTAAGGTCACAATCACCGGGCCCGCAACAAATCGCCCGTTGTTTGTTTTCCTGTTTGATGATGCAGGTGAATCAACCTCACCTTAGTAACACCGTCTGAATAGCCAAAACAAACTGAACCGGTCCTGTCAATGATTCGGTGAAAGATAACTCGGGTATTATCTTACACACACTGGATGTAGGTAGTTAGGTAGCACATGTCGTGTTAGGATGCCGACACAGACATTCCTGACCTTGCATAACCTCTAGGATCATTTGACAGAGCGAACTTGTGACCGGCCCGTTAGCGGATTGGAAATCGCAGTGAATAAAATGAAGTGCATAACTATCGGTCCGGCAAACACGTCTTTCTCTAGCAACTATGGTAGATAAATTGATGCACTCCATCGAGTATTGATCGGTTTAACAAAACATCACATTCCTTCGATCGTAGATACATTTTATTTCTATCCACCCATTCCCCCCTATATAACATATTTCTTATTTTGATAACACCTTCTTATCGGTTTATCCCCGGCATCTTCTTGACTAAGCCGGTCTCGATGAGTTGATTGATTGGTCCGTGAGAAAGCTTGACTGAAAAAACTGGCGCGAAATTTCTCCAATCTGGCACAGAAATCAGCTGTGAACGTTATTCTTCATTGTAACATTTCTCGTCGCTATTCGCGCTTACCCTGTGAAGTATCCTGAGTTTCATTTACATTCGAGTCAACTGTGCGACTGATTCAACAACATTAAATTGGTTTCGCTCTTATTCCTACGCTCTCCTCACATGCCACGTGTGTCCATTCAGAGTGCGGAATGAGTCGAACAAATGTGTCATTTTTGTAATACCTTCTATTCAGAAATATCCGGAATGCATTTCGTTCTATCTCACTCCGGATTCCCTTCTCCCCTCTCAGGTGTCTGCCTTCGGCCGCGATCATCACTCAGAGCAATTTGATGCAAGGTTCCGAAGGATACAACCTGATCAAGGCTATTGAGGAGGCTGCCGAACCGTAAGTGTTGCTTCTGAATGGGACTGCGTTTCTGTTAACTATCGAGGGCAATTCAAGGTCACCGTGGTGTGGTTTTAGATATTGTGTTAGGTTTGTGGTTTCATTTGCTGGCCTTTAAGTTTGAACCCCGTCATCGCCATTCAACAGTAGTTGTAAACAGCCTCAGTATAGTCCGGTCTCATATCATTCTTATCTCTTCCAGACCGTGACTCGCTAACCCCTTTAAATCCAGGACTTAGGTCACAGGTTCCAATTAGCGAAAGGTTGATCCTCGTCATGATGGAGCCTCTTCTATCTTTCATCCCACTGAAGTTTTAGTAGTAGTATTGAAGTATTGCGGGAGTTATGTTTCCGAGATATTCCATTAAAATTTCAGCAGTTTGAAGACTCAAAAGGAACGTGAGCGGAAACCCACTCTATGTCGATTTCCTTTGTTGCTGAGTTTGCATAAATTGGTGCCCCGGCCAATGTAAAAAGATTTTGAAAGAATCTGTCAGCAGATGAATCGCATCCTCTCATGTCGCGGTCACACTATAACATAGAAAAATACGTGCCAATTCGCGAAATGGGATGTGACATCAAGCGATTTTGCACCTCTCTGATGCGAAGTTATCTTAAATCTGGTTAATCCGACATTACCGTTTTTATTGATCCACGGAAAAGATGAAATCACCCCATACATGTTTCCGGAATCCACCTGGTCATGGTTACGCAACAGCCCGTGTGTGTGAGTGTGTATGATTGATGGCTCAATTTACCGTACACGCCCTCTCTATGGGATGCAGAACATTCCAATTTGTTCAGTAAGTAACTAAAGAGGTACTGGTAGGATGTCACAAAAATGGCCCATAATGGGTTAGAACATGCATTTTTCAAAACCTTAGATTACTCCAGGCACCGATGACCAAACCATATAAGAGCCAAATAAAATCAGCCAATTCATGGATTTATAGGTCAGAACACGAGACCTCAGCGTTTCTCTCCACCTTTTGGTTTAATCTATTACATTTTCTATTCGTAATTCAATCTGCGCGGTTCACGAAATTCCGGTCAAGATCGATTCACTATGATAAATCAATACGGGTCGACACAACTTTCGAAACAGAGAGCATATGTAGAAAATTCTATAGCGAACGGGAGATGATGTTTTTGACAAGGCAGTAAAACGGTACTAATCATTCAATTTTATTCAACCATATTGAATTTATGGTGACGTGATTATTTCGTATACCAACCGCCTGGTTTGATCTTGTAGGACCGGAGGCGACTTCCGCTACCTCGAAGAAGAAGAGCCGGATTCCCAACCGAATTTCGATGTGAAACCCCAGGCGGCCACAATCAGTGAGGGGTCACCCGTTCGTTTCCTGGTTCGAGTCAGTGGCAAACCAACTCCTCGACTGTCGTGGTATTTGAACGATCAGCTTGTAGAACCGGTAAGTTTGTTCTGGTTAGTCGAGTGAGTCTGTTGGTCCTATTAGGCTGATATTTTACTGTTTGTATTCTACCACGGGTGATAATGTAGATGGGAGTAGGAAAGAGGCCACAGAATCTTTGTGGTTTCCAGCTGATAAACACAGGAAGTTGCGATAATCTCTTGCATCACCGTTGGATTCCGTCTTCTCACGACCTGCGGGCACACGTTCTTCGCGGTTAGGTTTGGTGCCTCATTGAGCGCTCTTCGATCTGGGCTGCACACGGCGCCTGTGTGGAGCAGGCTTCTAGCCTCATTCGGTGCAGTATAACGATCACTCATTTTCTTCTCATTAGCGAAAACGATTTTTATGCACCTTACGTTTTTCATTCAACTTAGTTTAACGGTACCACTAAGTTTGGGATAGACTGTCTGAAGCGAGCGGAATTTGTTATTTTCCTAACCTCGTATTTCACGGTTTGTTATCCCGTGGCCCAGGACTCGATAACTAAAATCTACAGTGATGGCGCTATCAACTATTTGGAAATGGGACGATGTCCTGCGTTGCAAGGAAGCAACACTCTGCGTGTGGTTGCTGAGAATCCACTTGGACGCGCGGAAGCGGATACGGTTCTTACTGTCACCTTGGCCGAAGATTTCCGACCCGATCTGAAACACGTTCAACCGGGTGAGTTCCCGTTTTCCTATCAAACCAGTTGCATTTTCTGCGATTGCGACAGCTGGATCATAGCGAGGCAAACATAAGCCACGACAAATGGTTTAATGTTTGATTAGGTAAAATAGTAATTTGGAGTGCATACATGTTGCATAGATTGCAATATTAATTGCTTTATCAATAAGTACGGGGCGTTAGCCAGCAAGCAGAACACATTTAGTGATGGTGGCAGTTATCCGCCTCGCGAAACAACTTCAGTCGACATCAGTGATGCAGACCTAGGGAATGGGCTTGGAATCCCGTCAGTGCTTTTCAACTTTTGTAGTTATAGTCCGGCCTATTTGTGCCCTAGGCGATTGGTCACCCCAAGTCCCAGTTATTTTATTATCAGGTCCCGAAACCCATTTACAGGTCATCGTCAGTATGCTCCTTATCCCACTAGTTCTTGATCTTACTCGTATAGTAAGGAACTTTATAACGCAAGTTGTTTTTGTAACATTTTAGTGGCATAGATCGATTGCCCCCGTGACAATCAATCATTTTGCCATATTCTACAACCCGATGGTCACGGACACCATTGTTTTCAGTTTCAGGTACTGACGCGGGTCAAACAAACAGGATGTTTTCCTGTCTATTGTCTTAATAGTGACCGGTCCCATGCAATATAATTCGGTGTGTTGCATAAATCTTCGTTCACCTTCTATCTACTCGCACGAGTTCCCTCTATTTCCACTGATTTTCTGTTTATGCCCAATCGATGTTTTGGTTTCTCAGAGAATCCTTTCAAGAAGATGATGGGCTTGCGCAAAGTTGACTGCACACCAGAACTGAACAAGGCATTGACACGCACCAAACCGTCTGCTCAAGCTATCGCCGAGATGGAGCGCGGTAAGCACTGGAGGGGGGGGGGGTTACGCTCTACGATAGTTTTATTCATCCCTCTCTTTCTCTCTNTTCAGTTTGCCATTCGTAAAGTAGAGCGGCTACATTTTCTGTTATTCCCCGAAGATAGGGCTTGATGAGTTCTCTTAAGTCAGTAACAGATGGTACTCAAATGTCATAAACCGAACAGAACGCCTTGAGTTTGTTTCATAACTACTAGACAACGCTAAAACATGTTTATTGAGTGCTTGACTTCTACCTTTTTTAACCGCTCCAAATTCAATTCAGGTACCGAAATGAAGGCTCGCAATTACCGATCACCGGAGGTTATCGAGGCCGAACGTATGCTGGACCAGTTGGCCTTGAATCTACGCAAATCCGAGATCAAACGCGTGAGTTTTGATCAGTGATTATAACAGTGACGATGATGATTATGATGATAGTGATTCTTGTTGGGATTTAGTCCCAAAGCGTTATTTTGAGAATCGCTCCATTCTCCGACTAGTATGGATGAGTTTTGATCACTCTCACGATATTAGATCGACTGAATCTATCTCTTCGCAGAGGGATATGAAC